GTTCCCGGGGGGAGGAGACAGGGAAATTACTCAGCTGAAGGAGAAGGAAGGAAATCACTTTTTTTTTTTTATCCCCCCTCCTTAAAAAAATAATAAAACTAAATAAATCAACCTTGACAGGCGGGTGCTTGCCCAGAAGATCTCACTGCCCACAGCAGGGAATGGAGATCTGGGGGCTGCCCTGGGACAAAGGAACACAGAGAAAACAAAGAGGATTTCTCACCTAAAACCCTCCCGAGAAGAGCAGGAGCAGCTGGAGGAGAGCCGTGGCGCTCCGTGGGGTGACCGCCCTTTGTCCTCAGCCATGCTCCAGCCCCTTCCTCGCCTGCTTCCCCAGGAAACAGACCTGACCTGGACCCCTTCCAGCACCCCTCTGCCCCACCGCAGCCCTCCTTGGGGCAGAACCAGCAACCACTCAGCCCCAAACAAACCCTCTGTCACCCCCAACACCCCGTTACCAACTGAGCAGGACATCACCATGCTGTCCCCAGAGAGGGACAGGTCGCCTGCCACCCCCGATCCCCCAGGCTGAGCCCCACCACGCAGCAGGGCCACCTGTCCTGGCCACAGCATCCCTGGCAGGCTCCGTGTCCTGGTGCCACCGTTCCTCAGGGTCAACGTGCCCTGGCTTTCGCCTCACTGCACCGTGGCTCTCCAGAGAGCCCTGTGGCTGGGCCCGGCCGGCGTGAGCCCTTGAGTCATCCATGGCACTGCGGGCACGGCCTCCGGCTGCCGCGAATGCTCGGGCTCCCTGTTTCCCCACAGACCTTTGCGGAGCTGGAGAAGCCAGTTGCTGCGCAGCCCGTTGTGTCATTTCTCAGTGCAAAAAATCTGCACTTTCCCTTGACAGTTATTCTGGGAAGAGAGCTTTGTCCTCCTTCTCAAGACGAGGCCCAGTTTCATCCCACAAAAGAGCGCACTGCAAGCACTAAGCCCCGGGATCTGCAAGGAGTCGGGGAGAGGGAAGGCGGCGCTCCTGACTCCAGGAAGGAGTCTGTAAAAATCCCAACAATCTTTCTGCAGAGGTGTGCTCGAGGGAGAGGAGGACAGAACTGGCTTACTCAGCCATGCGCGTGTTGAGGTTGAAAGGACACGACTTCTTCCACAGACGAGCACCCACACATCAGAGCTCAGGGCTTCCAGCCACTCCTGCTCACCTTCGGAGCACTGAGCCGCAAAGGGAGATGGAGCAGCCGTCGTGCCATGGATGGGACGGGCAAGGTCCTGCTCGCTGCTGCCAAAAGTCAGGCACCACACTGGCAACAGCTTAAAAGAAAGCACATCACATTCTGAGCATCATGGATTTCTAAAAACCTGAGGGAAGA